CCCCCCCCCCCCCGCCCAGGAGTATTCTGGCTAATAAACGAAGAGGAAATGATACAAATAGGTAATTATCACATTCCAACCCCAGCCATTGGTCATGGACAGCTGCCCAAATCACACACACAAAAGAGAAAACAAGACCTTACATACCTCCTGATGATGGAGGAGTACACTACCATCTCTGAAGCAGTCTTCCCAAAAGTGTCAAGCCTGAATAGGATCAAGCCTATTGAACTGCACTATTCAATATGGTGGCCACTAGGCGATCAAGCCCATTGAACTGTACTTACTGTTCAATATGGTAGCCACTGGGCACAACCGGCTACTGTGTGCTCGAAAGGTAGCTAGTGTGAATCGAGTTGTGCTGCAACTGTACATTTTTATGTTGTCTGTTGACACAGCCGTATTTATTGTTGTGTAGTTATGCAAGGTGCAACCGTTAGAGCGAACTGGGTGAAGCGTAGAGGGAAACTGTACTATTTTTGTAACTCACTGGCAATCTATAGTTATTTCAAAAATAAAAGTTTTAAAAAAAAGTGTTTCAGAGACAAATTGGCCACAAGCAATGTGTGAAGCTTATTTTAATTCTTATTGAAACAAAAAACATGTTAAAACATTTGAGACACATATATGTTAAGAGTGGAAATTTGAATAATGCCCGATAGTCATTAGAATAAAATTTAAAACGCATTATAGTAGCAATGTGGTCCCATTTAAAGAGTGGAAACTTATCTTTTGAGATACTTTCTCAGTTGTTTATGAGTTAAACGATCCACGCTTGATATTTATCTCAAAATAATAGAGAACCGATAGAGGTCTAGAAGAAGTAAGATCGGGCATGAGCTGATAACTGTTTGAAGTCTTGATGGATTCGTGGCTGTTTACTAGAGGATTCTGCCTCCTTTGTATATGTTTAATATTTTCCCTAACACAATGTTTTTTAAAATCGCTAACAGAGATGGGCAATTTCTTAAAGGATATTGTTAATGTGGGCGCTTTTGACATTGAAAATAATAATGGCTTGGATTATTTATAATTGACTCCTGGATCGGCAGAGTGAAAACAATTTCTAGTCAGCTCAGTGTCAACCCAAACTCATTTTAAGAGAGTCCCTGAATGCTCACTCTGTGCAAGGCACTAGTCTTAAAAATGTCCTACCCTGTGTACATCGTTCTGCTTCTGAACTGCTGGAAAATCGCCTCCGATCGGTGCCTGCCGGCTTAACTCGTCATCTTTCAGCTGTAGCCACACCAGGAGCTCCTGAAGAGAGAGGTGCAGACGCTTCCACTGGTCAGAACTGGCTTCCAAATGAGACCTGAAGAACAGCAGGAACAAAGCAGGTCAAAATATCTAGAATGGTAACGAACGATTTCAATAATCCCATTAAAGGCACAGTGGTTTGGTTAGTTCCATAGTACATAAACCCACTGTGAACCATACAGCAGTCCTCAATAAAAATCTAGCTCTGTGCTTTTGCGAGCCATAATGGGGGCATTTTGAGGGCAATTTTGAGGGAAGACAGTGTTTAGCTGTACATTTATTGCCACATGCAGAATGCTGAGACTTTCGGCATGAAATATACACCGGAATGGATTGCTTTTCCACAGCGTTGCAGTCAATGATTCTTAATGTTTCTGGTAGAAAAAATTTTGCTCCCAGTGACTAATATAAACCACTCGGTTTTCAAATGACTCATGCTCGTACTGGAATTCTTTCGGCTTTGAGAAATGGAAAGGTCTCTCCCCACATTTTGACTTTTCCATTTCTAAACCCTAGGCAGCCTCTTCCATTGACTCCTTCCATCTGGCATCTGTTCCTTTCTGCTCCTCTTCCCATATGCTTCTCCTTTTCCTCCACCCTTCTTTATTCGCGTGCACCTGGGATTTGTTTTCACCAAGTTTCAACATTTTCCGCTTTGTTTCCTTTGTGTAAAATGTACCGAGACAACAACTCACGTGGAAGAGTAAAATCAGACATTTGCCTGAAAGCCTGCCCTGAACATGAATAATTTAGGCAGGAGAATGAATGCTTAACCATCAACTGTATTTAGAACATGTTAAGCCATAGAAGCCATTTAAGAATATACAAATGAACGATCTGTGCTATAAAACCCACATTTCACTTGAGGATGAGAAGCTAAATTAACCAAATAAATCATCATCCAGAAAACAAAGAAGAAGCGAGGAATGTTAACAAAGCTCTATCCTCAGGTAAATCAAGAATTAGGCTGCATTACTCATATATTATCAGCAATTACTAATTAATTCATAAAAATTAATGCTGTCTATAACACAAGCATAATATAGTCTCCAACGCTGCAAAGATTGAAGTGTAAAGCAACCAGGTAGAAAAACATTTCCCTTTGCTGTTTGATAACTTAGCCTGACATTTCAAATACAATTCTCCTGCTGGTCTTAGTCAAACAGAATCACCACATAGTGGCTATGTACTGAAATTAAATTGTTCCAAACTTGCCGAGGGATCATTTTCTTTAGGAAGGACGATACTTACAAGTCTTTAAAACGTGCAGATACAATGACCCACAAGCTTAAATGCAAAAATCGCGTACTAGGGAAGTAACTGGAAAATCATGCAAAGATATAGGTAGAAAAGTGTTATTTGCAGCATCACTTAGGATTGACACGAGGTAGGAACAACTTAAATATCCCATACTAGGGAAGAGATTACATATATAACGGTTAAGTCTTACAATGCAATGTCCACAGCCTATGCATCCTATGCATTGTCCAATGCGATGACATCAGCATATATTAGGGGATATGGAAAAGATCACCCCGTCAGTCGCTGAGGGAGAAAGTAGGTTACAAAAATGTCTACAATCGATTTTTCTAAAACGTTTGTGTATGTTTATCTATTTTTGTACACACACTTGACTCCGGCATGAAAAAATTCTGGAATGCCAACCCGTTTATCTCCCAGAGGTAGATTTAGAGGTGGTTTATTCTCTCAGCTTTCTACTTCTCCAAATGGTCAGAACCGTCTTTCTATTATGAGCAATGTAAACATTGTGTCTGGAAAAACAGGAAGGCCTTTCCATCAGAGAAATTAAGTGGTTCAAGACTCTAAGGGCATTATTATCTAATAAACAAATCACCAAATACCATAAATGCCATGAATTAAATATAATAGTGCAGACTGCATATAGGGGTAGAGGTAAGTCCTTTTCCGTTTCTCTTCCCTTTCCCTTTCAATGATTGCTTTTCCATGAGAAGCCCAAGCGAGAATTCCCTATGCAAGATTTTCGCTGTTTAATGGCACCCGATGATCACTGCTTACAGGGACGCCCTGGGGTGTCTGGAATTTGCAGCCTGGTCCCCTTGAAGGGGGAGGAAGCGGTCAAACAGGACGTGTGGGGAAGTAGGTGGAGGGAGGTACAGTCCAGACGTGGATGCGCGGCATGGAAAAGAAGAGGCTCTGATGAAATAAAGCAGTACTGAGTGTCGCTAGGTCTTGGGACCTTGGGAGTCCCAATAAGGCCTTGGGAGAAGGAAGAGGGGAAGGTGAGGAAGAATGTAGACAGGCCTAATGCCTGCTCCCTCTGTCTGGTAGAGGAAACAAAATATCCCCCTGGTGGAGAGGTCTGGAGGAGGATAAAGTCGCTGAAGAGCCAAGCCACGGCACTGCCAGAGGCCCCCAGGGGCTGCTTCATTTACATAAGGCGGGGCTACAACCAGGGTCTAGGTACAGTGGTGCTGACTAATCATTAACAGGTCAATGAAACCCTTTGTGTCCCCAGGGGAAAAAATTGCTCTGGGACCCAGGGAATTTACTTCTAAAGGATCTAAGAGGAGCTTCAGGGCATGAGATGGGGAGATGGTTAAGAGCCCGGACGCAGGACAGTCAAGGCAGTTAATGGAGGAGGGGAAAAAGGACCTGCGATGGGGGGAGAAAAGGCTGCCGTGTATCTAGAGTGCGGAGTTAGGTCTAACACTTGGGAACGTCTGATCACCTTCACTCCGTATCAAATGACTGTTTTTCTTTCCCTTGCTGGGGCTGGAGAGCGGTGACACAAATGTAACCAAAAGTTTCATAAAGGACAAGGGATGCTGGGTAAAGGAGGGAGAGGAGAAAAGCAGTCAGATTATGGCTCCTGAATGAAAACCACGCTTACGAAGGTATCCAATTAAAGCCATGGTTCTCAAACTTCAGGGTGCATAAAAACCACGTGAGTAGCTTGTTTCAGGTATAGACTCCCAGGTTCCACCTCCAGACTTTCTGTACTTTTAACGAGAGCCTTCACAACTCAGCAGGTGCACTCCAGGGCCATTCTTTAAGAAAGAACTTTTTTTTTAATGTTTTATTTATTTTTGAGACAGAGAGAGACAGAGCATGAGCGGGGGAGGGGCAGAGAGAGAGGGGAGAGACAGAATCCGAAGCAGGCTCCAGACTCTGAGCTGTCGGCACAGAGCCCGACGTGGGGCTCGAACTCACGGACCGTGAGATCATGACCTGAGCCGAAGTCGGACGCTCAACCGACTGAGCCACCCGGGCACCCCATTTTAGAAAGAGTTTCTTAAAGTAGTTCCTGCATGTCCTAAACGTTACTTCTTGGTCTCCACAGGGCAAAGGTGGCATTTGTCAGTGACATGATTTTGAAGGCGATCTAAATGCAATGACACACCAAGAGCTCACAAAACATTTTCTGTGGCCATGCTAAGCTTGTGAAGGGTTTTCGAGACACATTTCTAGCGCAGTCGCTGAAAGCAGCTGCCGTTTTGATTTTCGAGATTGCATACCAAATAGTTCTAAGTGATTAACCTATGTTTGTATTGGGAATGTCTCTTCGGAAACTGTTTCTTTCTATTTGTGATGACTCTTTCTTTTTCCCCCTTCCAGGTTTTATCCTAGGCTGTTAGGGCTGGAAGGAACCTGAGAAATTCTCCTCAAGCCTCTTGTTTTGCAAATGTGCAAACTGAGATGCAAAGGCTCAAAGGCAGCTGAAGCTTGTAGCTGGAGCTATTGTGTTTAGACACGGGAAGTAGAAATTGCAAACTCTCCTAATGTGAAGAAATCTTTAACCTTAGTGGTTTTCACCAAATGCTTGGATCCCCGAGCCAAAAGATTTCCTGCCAATTAGCAAATATACTCTATTTACCTCTACCTACTCAACAGAAAATAAAAGTGGAGGTTTGAAGGGGCATGCTTAAGCTTCAACCATTTTCTATTAATCTTTATTAGTGAAGACAAGAGCTTAGGGGCTACTAGCTTTAAACAAGGCACATGTTGGTCTTTAATAAGCAGATAACTTCCACCATTTGGAAGGTTTCGGTAAAATGCAGAACCTTTAGGTGTGTTGGGATGTAATGCTCTTCTTTAAGGAAGTCTTCAGTATCAGCGTACTAAGAATTATAGGGGCTGCTTAAGTGGTTGTGATTTCTCTAGACACATATTTCAAGTATGATCGCGTTGAAGCCTAGTTGGAAATTCTTAACAAAACTTTACTCTGAAAGGCATGGATTCTTTTTAACGTTTATTTACTTTTGAGAGAGAGACAGAGAGAGACAGAGACAGAGTGTGAGCAGGTGAGGGGCAGAGAGAGAGGGAGACACAGAATCCAAAACAGGCTCCAGGCTCCGAGCTGTCAGCACGGAGCCTGACACGGGGCTTGAACTCATGAACTGTGAGATCATGGCCCGAGCCGAAGTCAGATGCTTAACCGACTGAGCCACTCAGGCGCCCCTGAAAGGCATGTATTCTTAAAGAAAAATGTGTTACATTGGATTCATTTTTCACTTTGACTTTCTTTATTTAAAAAAAAAACTGTTTATTTTGAGAGAGAGAGACAGGGCGTGTGTGCACGAGTAGGGGGCGGGGCGCAGAGAGAGAGAGGAGAAGGAATCGCAAGCAGGCTCTGTCCTGTCAGTGCAGAGCCCGATGTGGGACTCAATCTCACGGACCATGAGATCATGACCTGAGCTGAAATGCAGATTCACATGCTTAACTGACTGAGCCACCCGCGGGCTTTGACTTCCTTTATAAAACTAATGATGTACCCCCGTGTATCTTGGGCACCCTTGTGTAATCAGATAGCACTTAAGCATATAGAAAGAAAAGGTAAGAAGGCAGAAATAATAAGGAATCGTAGACATAAAACGGGAGCTGTGGAACTTTAAATGAAGAGAGAGAATTACACCCAAAGAGAAGTAAACTTTCTTGTTTCTTTTGGGTCCAGCTTGGCCATGAACTCCAACTTTCACACATAATTAACATTTCAAGAGTAAGAGAAAGAAGGTCAGGAATAGTCAATGTCCAAGTTGCGTTTTTTCTCAAAAGTAGAAAGACTATGCTACCTCT